AATCACAGGAAGACTTTGTGAATTCCACTTCTGCCAATCTGCAGTGTGATGTATGCTATGAAATCATCAAATGTGAAGGCTGAGGGATCTAAGCAAGCATTTTGCCCAATTTCCTCATTTTACAGATGGTGCAGACAAGGGAACTGATAAAAGATGCTCAATCACTTGTCTAAGGTCAGAGCAGGTTTGTTTAGAGAAGCATATCCTCCCTGTCACCACCCCAAAATATGCTCATGGTCACTGCTGTGAGTTGAATTGTGTACCCTAAAAAGTTAAGCTCAATTTTCAGCTCTCAATACCTGATAATGTGACTTGATTTGGAAAATAGGGTCTTTGTAGATGCAGTCAAGTTAAGATGAGGTCATACTGCCTAGGTTGGGCCCTAGTCCAATGACTAATGTCCTTAAGAAGAATTTGGACAGAGATACAGGAAAGGGGCCAGGGATTTAGCTCAGTGTTGCCACCACCTGCCTCGCAAGCAGAAGGACTCGAGTTCGATCCCCAGTACCAAAAAAAAAAAGAGAGAGAGAATGGAACCTCAGAAACAGGAAACTGAGACAGAGGTACACATTTCCCAAGCATCCAGGGAAGACAAAATGAATTTTGTTAACTGTTCTCCACAGCCAGATTTTTGGAATAAATGAGTGGCATTTCAATATTTTTTTTTAATAGAAAAAGGATTTTCCCCCTTTATTTATCCTCGTCACGAACTTCCAGAGACCTATGCAGTCCAAAGATTTTCTCTAACCTGAGGGTTGGGAAACTTTTCTATATAGGGGCCAGATATTTGAGGCTTCACGGAATACACAGTCTGTCATTCCAACTCTGCAGTTGTACCATGAAACAGCCATAGACAATAGATAATGTGTAAATAAGTATGAGTATGGTTGTTTTAATAATGCTTTATTTACAAAATGAAATAAGAACAGATATGGCTGACAGCCATAGTTTGCTGACTCTTCCAATAGACTAACATAATCTTATGCCTTTGAAATCAGGGAATGTTTAATCCATTTTGTAACTGGCTAATTTTAATTTTGTCTTTCTGTTCAGTTTTCTCCTCATGCTGATCATTCGGATTAATATCAACATATGTACTTGTATGATCATCAATTGTGTTGCATGCTTGGGACAATTTTACAACTTAGAAAGCATTCAAAAGAATAGTTTAACCATTTACTTTCACTTTTACTGGCAACACACTTATAGAGTTCATTTAGTTTATAAAATTCTTTGTAGAATGTGTATGTAGGCATTCAAAACAATTGTCCCTCTAGGTTGACAAGGGAATGAAAACATAGAGAGATAGAGGGGCTCTCCAGCCTTGACTTTCTATTTTAAGAGTGACTGGGAATTTTCTCTCCATTTACGAGCTAAAAGGTCACACTTTTCATTATTCTACTCTACCAAATATTTCGAATCAAAAAGCTAAAAAACATGGTTGCCATGCAGCTTTTAGAAGGATTCATGACGCAGAACCTCAGAATCAAAAAGAACCAGGCAGAAATAGATTCTTATTATATATGGGTTCTGTTAAGTAAAAGAAATAGAAAGGTCCCATTATTAATGTAAATTATGAATGCAAAATGAGTATTTCCAGTGAGAATTCCAAGCAGGTTATATATTTTCTTTTTAAAACTTTTCATTAGTATATGTCAGTGACACATAATATTACCTGCATTTAGGGGAATTGGTACATACATATCACATTTTGATCATTTTTATTCCCTCCTCATTTACTCTGCCTATAGACATATCAGTAAAAGCTGAGAATGCTACAACACTTATCTTTTGGTTGATGGTTTGTGTTGCCACTAAGATAATTCCTTCCTGTCATATTTAAATTTTTTGGTCAGTTCATAATTACTTAAAAATATTAAAAATGAAGCTTAAAATTCAGAAACATAAAAAGTTAAGTTAAAATACTTTCATAATTGCTGTTACATTGTATATAGTGACATAATTGTGCTGTCAAATTACTCTCTCTGTATGAGCTTTGTTACCAAAGCTTCTTTTTTGTTATTGTCACTTGATTTTGCAAGCAAATGTGCTGTGTTGGTGGCACTTTTGCATGCCGTTTCATCTGGAATCACCACACTTGACAAAATGTGTCAGATATGCTAAAATTCAATCCAATGTGTCAGGATACAGAAAAACACGCAACTTCACGCAGATATATTCATACCCAGCATTGCCACACAAGTGTTAACTACAAACTCTAAAATTCTGATAAATAAAATTAAATTGGAGAGGAAACAGACAGTAGTCTTAATCAACTGTGGTTCAAAGATGTTCGAATTACAGAAATGCCCTGCCTTACAAACACATTGCTAGGAACTAAAAAGGAAAGATACTGGGTAAGAGCAGACCAAAAATTAGCTTGACAGTAAATCCACCTCTGATCTTGGAAGTCAGTTAGTTTAGGCTCTGTATCAAACACACATCCCTAGTGGTTAATCAGTCTACACAAACACACCCAGTGACTGTGACATTGTATTGATTCCCAAGGCAGCTCATTCCATTTTTAGGAAACTTGGATTTTTATAGAATTCTTTCACAGGCTAAATTACAGTCTCCTAATAATTATAATTTGTTGATCGTAAGTCTCCCTTTCTTTGTGGTTTTTTTGTTTTGTTTTGTTTTGTTTTGTTTTTTGGTACCAGGATCGAACTCAGGACCTTGCACTTGCCAGGCAGGTGCTGGAACCACTGAGCTAAATCCCCGGCCCATTTTGTTTTTTTAGGGGTTTTTGCGGGGGGTGGGTTGTACTGGGGATGGAACTTGGGACCTTGCGTTTGCGAGGCAGGCGGCAGCACCACTGAGCTAAATCCCCGGCCTAGTTTTTTGGTTTTTTGAGACAAGGTCTCACTATGTAGCCCAGGTTGGCCTCGAACTCACAGCAATCTTCTGGTCTCAGCCTGCCAGGTCCTAGGATTATAGCTGTGGGTCACCACACCAGGCTCTTAAGTCTCCCTTTTGAGTAATAAATCTAATCATTCTTCCACAAGGCGAACATCCATGACAGTGGTCATGTCATCCATTGTCTTTTTTTTTTTTTTTGATATGGGGAATCAAACTCGGAACCTTGAGCTTGTGAGGCAGGTGGCAGCACCACTGAGCGAAATCCCTGGCCCATCATCCACTGTCTTAATTTGGGTTCCCTAAGGAGCTGATTCTGAAAGATTTGTTCAAACACAGCAGTTTGAAAGGTGGTACTAGAAAACACCAGTAAGGAAATAGAGAATAGAGAGTGAAGGAAAGGCAGCCAGTAAAGTCTGTATTGTCAACCCAGTTACTATCATGGGCAGCTGCAGCACAATTCTTCTGGGAAACTTTGAGAAGTCAAGAACTCACATGGCTCTGAGTTAGCTCCCCTGGGGATGAGGGAGCTGGGGACTTACACACTCACCCCCATCAGTTATGTTGAGGGCCTCTGTGAGGAGCATGAATATGCACTGGCAGACCAGGCTCAGCTTCTAAAGAAAGCCATCAAGTAAAGAGATGCAGAAACTGACAGCAGGAAATCAGCTAGCCTGCACTGCACTGGTGAGGCCCATGGGAATACAGGCAATGCATTCTCCACATCTAATGCTCTAGGTTCTCCAGAGTTCTGCCCACAGCTCAGCCAGCCCAACTACAGGTCACATCCAACCTCATTATCTGATGAGTGGGTTTTGTTTTCTTAACATTGAACATGACAGCACTTCTCTCTAAATTTCTAGTCCCAGAAAGTACACACACAACACAGAACAGGTACTATCCTTGATCAAAGGTAGAAGGTTAACATAAGCATAATCAGATTTAGCCTGAAAGCAGAAGGAGTAGGCATGGTGCTGCTCTAAGGCAGCTTAGGTAAATCCACTGAGAAATCCCAATTTCTTTTAAAATGCCAGACACATTCACTCTTTCATAGTCACTTTTTGCCTAAAAGAAGGTTCTTCTTTGGTAACCTGTTATATAAGCAAAGGAAGATTGACCTAAGGCTAAATTACAGACAATAAATGGACAATTATTCCTGTTAAATAATCAAAAACAGCTTTTTGCCATAAAATGACAAAAATTATTTTCCTGTGATGCATTACTGTAGTCATTTTCAAATATGTCCAGGCATTGTTTGGTAGTCCTGCCTTCAGAATATTGAGCCTAATTTTCCTCTCTTGTGTATGTACTTCAACAGAGTGACCCCATGAGATTTCCAAGAATAGGATCATAAAGGGCCTGTGGCCTCACTCACTCTCTGGGATCAGGCCTTTTCGGGAGAGCTGGCTGCCATGCAGTGAGACACTCCAGCTGCCTGTGGAGAAACCCACATGGCAAGAGCTCAGGCCTCCTGCACAGAGCTATGTGAGAGAGTGACCTTAAAATTAAAAGCAGGTCCTCCCACTCAGGACCAGGGACCTGGTGGCCTCTGGATGGCAATCTCAGGAGATTCCTTGAGCCTAAACCACCAGCAAAGCCACATCTGAGTTCCTAACCCTTGGACACTGTTGGCAGATGTTTGGGGTTTTCTAAGGTGCTGTGTTGTGATTAGTCTCACAATAATTGGTAACTAATGCATGCAAGACCACTTGGTCTTGTGAGATCACCACAGATTGGCAGCTTTTTACCTGAAAGTGGCAGGATTCTTCCCTGTGACTTTTTTTTTCCTCCCCAAAGTCTGTTTTCTTCTGTTCTTAATAAAATTCTAAATCATTTATCAAGAACTTTCCATTACTGTTCCTTGAATTGTATGTGATTTAACCTACCTCACCTCACCTCAAATCTCAGCAAGGTAAGTGCCATCTGAGCCTGCTTATAGCCATGCTTACCAGGACATAAACCTCATCAATAACAGCTCTCTGAGACCTTGTCCTCAAGAGCTATACAACCTTACTTGAAATGGAAGGCAGAGGCAGTTAAGGCTTTATTCTGATATCTTTTCATTAATGATCTTTTTTGTTTTTCTTTTCCCAGCCCCTTCCCTAAATGACCTTGTAATAATAATAATATGCAAAACTTACCTGATTTGGTTGTTGTCCATGAAAATGCCTTCCTGTCTTCGGTGCTCTGTGAGCAAAAGCGTCAGAAACAAACCCAATACTGCTTCGGGAAGTAATAAAACAGTAGATTAGGCTGGGTGGAGAGCCAGTCTTTGCTCCTCAATCCTGCTTTCCTAACAACAGCCAATAGGCTTCTCCTCGTGGTGGACTGAATTTACGCTGTTTTCTTTTTTCCCCAAACAACGGAAACAGCTGCAGTTGCAAGTTATTGCTTGCCAGAATTTATTTCTTCATACTCGTTCAAACATCTACAAGCTGAGAAAAGCTGATGGAAAGGAAAGGATACTTTGCCATCCTCAAATTATAGGTGACTAAGAAATTGAATTCATACTGACACTAGGAAAGAATCAAAGATATTTTTTTCCTACAGAACTACAGAATGGAATAGAATGCTGGTGGTTAGTTTAAATGTATATGCTCTATATCCTTTAAATTTTTTTCTCTGCATTATTTGGAGCTTCCACATCAATTAGAATATGACTCATTATTGGCACTGTACTATAATTATCCTTCAAAAGAAATGCATGTTTTACCTGGTAATAAAAGTTCTCAAGGAGAGTTAGTGAGTTCAGGAGATCTCAGCGGGTGGGTCCGTACCTCTGATCCTCTGTACCTCTTTGCTGCTCCCAAACTGATAAATCATCCAAAACTTTCTGAAGATCCAGAAGCCACCACCCTAGTGCACAGTTTGACCCTCTTCTATTTGGATTCTTCCCTATGGGTCTTTTTGCTTCTCCATTTCACATTTTAAATTCAGATTTTTAAGCCAACCCAAATTAATAGGTTGTTTGTTTGTTTGTTTAAGACAGGATCTCACGGCATAAATTCAGTTCAAGCTGCCCTGGAACTAATTATGTAGCCCTGGCTGGCCCTCAACTCTCTACAATCCTCCTGCCTCAGCACCACCACACCCAGCAAGGCTTTTCAACAGTTTATTCCAATCTCTTCCATTGTTCTGTAATTATAGGTTGGGTCCAAGACCCTTGAGCCAAACCTACAGCTACTCTAAACTGCTTATTTTGATGATGAGTGTTAAAGTCTGGCATATATATAAAATAGGCGCTCAATAAGTATTTATTGAATCCTGTTGACATATATACAATTTTATTTTAACTGAGGGTATTTCTCAATACAAAACAGAAGCAAAATGTTCCTGGCATGTGACACACTGAATCAATGTCTTTTTGATAACAGAGGACTCTAAACTATATTACTGATTATCACACCATCTCCAGTGCTTAACTGATTTCCTCAAAGAATCACAGATACTAGAACAAATATGCAGGAGCCCTACAGTTACTTGATCCATGAGGCTTTAGAATTCAAAGAGTTGTCACTCCCTGAGCTACAAAGGCCTTTATAACATACCTCATCTATGGTCTTGGACTGTAGCATGATAGCTTAGCCCTAGAAGTTTTCTTTTAAAGAAAGGAAAGAAACAAAAAGGAGAAGGAAAGGGTGGGGGCTTCAACCCTCATACTCAATTTATTCAAATGAACATATGAGAACAAAAAGATGTCATGCCCAAACTAATCTTTTAAAAATTCCATCCTGAGAATGGTCTTTTCCTTTTTTCCATGAGATGAAACTTTCCTATTTTTTTTTTTTTTTTTTTGGTACTGGGGATCGAACTCGGGACCTTGCGCTTGCAAGACAGGTGGCAGAACCACTGAGCTAATTCCCCAGCCCCTATTTTTTTTTTTATTCTGGTGAAGAAATGGAAGAGATTGATGGAAGCATCTTTCTTTCAAAAGTCCTCCCTGTCAGATCAGAGCAAAAGAAATTAAAATACCCAACAAATTCATCCACCATGATATGCTTCTTGCCTCCTTTTCATTTTTCTTCTACTTCCTAGATTACTAAACTCTCAGCCACCTGTTCTCATGGTGAGAATATTTATAATACTTCAAATTTGCTATATCTGAAGATACTAGTGCTTAAGTACTTAATATTTGTGATATACGTAGGATCCGGAAGAACTTCATGAACATTAATGAAGGGTTGTAAGTTTTTTGAAAATTAGAATAGGTAGTAAAAGTGAGCTTTAGGAAATCAGAAAGGATAATTGTTTTCTCCTAGTAAAAACTGGAGCTCCTTGTGGCAGCAAACCGCTGGCTGTGTGAGTCTAGCAAGGTCATCAGTCAGTAGATTAGGTTATGCTGTGGTACCCTACACACCCCCAAACCTCAGTGGCTTATTTCTCTCTCAGGCCGTATGTCCCTCACAGAGTAGCCATGGCATTATGCCACATCATCCTCACCCTACTACCCAGACGAGGGGAGAAGTTTCTATCTTAGTCCTGGCCAGTCTTTTGGCAGACAAAAAAGAGCACATAGAAAATGATAAACTCTATTCAGGCTTGTTCCCGTAAGAGGCCCATGTCATCTCTACTCACAGTTTATTATCCAGAGCTAGTCTAATGGTTCTGTCAAAAGGACACAGACACATCGTTCTTACACAGTAGAGGCAGCGAGTATTATAAGAGTGAACAAGCATCACAGGAAGAAGATTCAGTCTGCTGTTGCTTCTCAAATAAAGCTTATAATGCAATAATTCTGAAAACCACTTTTCAATAAAAAAGGGCAGTGTAGTAATTACAGTTCATACTTGCCTGCTATATACACCATAAAACTAATGGTTCCTCATCAAAGTGACAGGCAAAGTTAGCAAAACATTCTTGTTAAGTCCCGGTTAATCTGGATTTTCTGAAAGACATTTGCCAGCAATGACCTATACAGGGATGGTGAAACTTCTAGAGCTTTCAATGATATAAACAGCCAGCTGGGGCTCACGCACCACATGTTTGTCACCAATGATTCTATGATCTTTCCAGTAGAAATTCCATGAGGTTGACAAAGTCTGGGATTTCTGTGAAAATATAGAAACTGCAGCTTCAAGACACAAGCCAAGTTTTGGTTTGTTTGTTGCTTGTTATTTGTTTTTTCTTTCTCTTTCTCTTCTTCCAAAATTTAGTAAACCTGGGCAACTCTTTTTTACCCTTCCACAAAGGGGTTTGCTGTTCTCTTTTTACTTGGAAAGGTTGCTCATTCACCTGTAAATAGACCACTTTTTAGGATTTCCCCATATGAATGGACCATTATCTCACTATAAGTGGGCCAGCCCCTACCACCCACTAGGTAAGATTAAGACTATAGATTATCAAATGCCACAGATTTCCTCACCCAAAGACACAAATTCCCAACTGTGTCCTGTCTCTGAGCACCACACTCTGTTCTTGAGTGTGTCTTATTGTCTATCTCTAATAAATCCTTCTCATGTCTCTTAAAAAAAATGCAGGTTTTTCTTTAAAATTCCTATAAGAAACCCAATGCATGACTAATTAAAAAGCAAAATTTGGGCTGGGGATTTAGCCCAGTGGTTCCGTCGCCTGCCTCGCAAGCGCAAGGACCCGAGTTCGATCCTGGGTACCAAAAAAAAAAAAAGCAAAATTAAAGTTAGATAAAAGGAAATAGGGACATAGATGTTTGCAAAAAGAAGGGGAGGAAGAGATGGAGGGTAGGGAAGAGAGGAGAGGGTAGGGGATGAAAAAAGGACTGAGGATGTGCTGTATGTGTACCAACACTCCATGGGACATGTAATCATTCTATAATGCAAATTGGTACCAATAAAAATTAAAAATTGTAATGCCATTCTTCATCGTTATTTTAAAATTGAAAAATATTAATATAAATCTTCTAAATCTTGAACCAGAAATGCTGCCCTTGAGGGCTGGGGATTTAGCTCAGTGGTTTTACCACCTGCTATGCAAGCGCAAAGACCCAAAGACCCGAGTTCCATCCCTGGTACCAAAACAAAAAAAAAAACAACAAAAAAAAACAAATGCTGCCCTTGAAATCTCCTCACCTAGCAGGAAGTTTTAGAACCCCACCCAACATTGTCTGAACCAGGAAAACCCAAGTATTTTTGGTTCCCATCCAAATAGTATTGTAAGAATCAGATTATTTACCTAGATATACTGAAACAAGAGGCTGAGAATTTAGTCACAATTCTTTTAAAAACCCTGAAAGATGATCTATATGTCTTTCCTTAC